CAGAAATAGCTATAAATTAAATATTATATTGTGTTCCTTTATCCAGTTAACTTCCTGGAATAAAATCATGTGGGTAGTCTTGTTTTATATATAAAAACTTTGATTGACTTCAGCCTAGATAGATATTCAGTATGTTATATCTGAATCGAAATTTAAGAGTTAATCTTACCCTGCACGATTTATTTGCTTAGTACAATGCTAAACTGGTGGTATATTTAATCACATGATTCTGTATTATTCAAAGGGTTGTTTTCTGTATGAAGATAAAAAAGCAATGAACTATATCACACATCAATGTACTATTAATAGCAAGATATATGAGACACAGTCCCCTGGTTAAGTATAAATTATATTATGGTAATTGTGAGACAAACAGCAGAGAAGAGTTAATAGTTTTTTAAATAGTAATTTAATATTCAATTCTAAATAGACAAATAAAAATAAATAAAAGCAAAAACAAAATGTGCTATTTACAGCAAGCTGTAAGTGATCCAGTTCCATGGTCAAGTAGAAGTCATCCTCCACCAAGTTGACAGTCATCCCCTCCCAAAGATGAACGCCAACCCCCTCCAAGAGGAGAGTTAACCAGGCCTGAATCTCAATGGCTTATATACCATCATTGGTACAATCAAAGAAGTACATCAGGATATACAATATTTTTTTTTCTGTAGCAGTAGGAGTAGTACTAGATGGCAGGAGTGTTAGACTATCCAGTGAAGTTACTCGCAACAGGGCAATATAGAGCTGTCCATGTGTGAAAGCACCAGAGCGCAAATTAACACTAACATGCTCTAGATATTGACCCTGTGACTTGTCTACTGTCATTGCAAAGCAAACACGGACTGGGAACTGTTTCCGCACAAGAATGAATGGCAGATCCTCATCGTTTGTAGTAAGTTTTATTCTTGGCAGGAGCTGTATCTGACCATCAAATTTACCACCAAGAACGGCAACCTGTAGGCAGTTACGGCTAATACCTACTAGTCTTATGCGTGTACCATTACACATCCCCTGTTTGGGACTCAAATTCCTAATCAGAATCAGAGGAACACTAATTTTGAGTCTAAGACTTGATGGTGGAATTGATAGCAGGTTGACACTTTGTAAATATTCTACTGCAGGGGCATCGGCAGCTGTAGCATCTTGATTAAGCTCCACTGAATTTACTACGTTGAAATGGTGTTCTACACGAGGCATCCTGTCTAGCAGCCTATCATTGAAGTCATTTACTGTATCATTCTTGAAGGCCAAAATGGCTCTCCCAATTAAACTATGATGAGACATGACGGCATCCTCTAATAGGTCTTAGGGATAGAGGAGATTACAAAGATCACCCACAGGCTCAACCTTCCGAATATAGGGTGGAAGTTCTATGGTACCATAACAGGTTGCATCTGAAATCAAAGCTTTGAGAAAGTCTAGAAAGACACCATTAGCAGGAGTTACAGCTACCCTCATCCTGGTCTTTAACTGTAAAACTTGTAAGCTATTCCAAAAGGAACTAAACTGTATACAAGCTTGTATAGTTGCCTGCCTTGAACCTTGCTGCACTACTGGTAAGATTTGAGCAAAGTTACCACCCAAAACAGTAGGAATTCTGCCAAACAGGCAAGTATCGCTAACATGACATATGTCATTCAAGGTCCAATTCACAGCCTCAAAGCATGCCTTGTGCTGCATTGGAACTTCGTCCCATATGATTAGTGATGTTTTCCTTATCAACTTTGCAAGCAATGAATTACTGGTAATATTGCAACCAGTAACCGCTGCATTAGATAATGGAATCTTGAATCTTTAGTGTGCTGTACAACCTCTGGGCAGCAACTAGGCTGCAATCCCAGAGGAGGCTACACAGAGAACAATGTTTCCTTGGGCACGGAAATAACTGCATAAGCAATTATAGAGAATGGTTTTGCCCGTACCAGCAGGACCTTGAAGAAAGAATATGGACTATGTATCACGGTTAGAATAGAGCTCACGATGCTCTACAGCAGCAGTAATCACATTAAAGCAATATTGTTGTTCTAGATTGAGCTGCAATCTCATCGCATCGCTGGTCTCTCCTTCCCGTCGCCAATCATAGGCTAATTCTTCTTCAATCAGAGGATTACTTGCTCTTGGAAGGTTAACTCTCTAATTGAAAACTGGTTCTGGCAATCCAAACTCAACCAATGTCCTACCAAATTCATCCAGAAAACTCTGAAGAAGATAGAGGCCATAGTCTAAATGAATTCCATTATCAGAGTCATGTATACCAGCAGGAATAAAATTCTGCAAGTGGCTATTAAATGTGGTAGGTCATCACACATGCTTTCCCTAAACTGTTCCCAGATAGAGACAGGATTGGTTAGAGTTGTATGCTGGAGGGCTAAAGCAAAGAGATGTCGCAGTGCACCACCAGTCATAAACTGCCTACCTTCTGTAAACATGGCAACCCACTCTCCATTGTCTTCAAGTAAGCCTAAGGCAATACATGCTTGCTTAAAGCTTTGACACACCACACCATCAACTGTTTTCAAGTTCTCGTAGCTTGTAGCTCCTCAAACAACAGTTAACAGTAGCCAGAGATAATATCTCTCACCCATAAAGAGACTGGCTGAGTATATTCGTCTAACAGCCATCCCCTTCTTGCGTTTCTTCCATCCAATTTTGTATTGATATACAAAATGTTCTGGAAACTCTTGGTAGAGGAAGGACTTTCCATCCTCATGTTCAATATTATACTTGAACCATGCAAGAAGTGTTGTCATGGCAGTCTCGATATGCTCACATAGTTCATCTGGATCCTCACATGCACCAAAGTACACTGGCTGCTTACCAGGCATATGTAATGCAAGATAATTGACTGGAGGTTGCTCCTCATGTCTGGCAAATTCACAGAGATTCCACACTGCCTCACTTGGTGCAATGTACCTTCCTTGTAGGTATCTCTTAATCTCATCATGCTCAGAGTCAATATTGAGTGTGACTTTGTCTCCACCATTATATATATATTTGTGAATATACTTCACAGCTTGTACTGATCCACATACCTACAAATTTATATGTGCATTATAGCGGAGAGATAGGTAGGGACTGTATGGCACAACCCTACGATTATCAATTACCGTATTAATTGCTCCTCCAGATCCCAGAGCAGGAACTGCAAAGCATTGACCTGTATTTCGTCTCCTGTATAAGAGATACCCATTCTCAGGTATGATTGTTTCATCCTGGAATTCATGTGGGTATCCCTTGTGACATTTACTCGTAGAGGCTGGGTTCATATCTTTCATGCACAGGCACTACTATTTCCTGCAGCACATTGAGTATGAACTGTAGTATTTTGTATAATACTCCTTAACCTTTGAGTGATACTGTCATTTCCAGTAGGGAGCTCTGCAGAAATAAATCTATCAATATTGTCTGGTGTAAGAAATTGAGGGTCTGGCCTCAAAAAGAGTAACAGATACAAATGTGGAAGTCCACACTTCTGGTACTCAATGGTCCAGACCCAACCTCTCCATTGACCAAATACGTGCTTATTCTTAATCTGATCCAATATATCTTGCAGCTTTAAGTGAAATACTCTTGCTACAAGATCTGGACGATCAGCAGCTGTTTGACCTGGCAGCAGTTCTGCTTCAATTTCTGTCCATTTTGGGTTTGCCATAAATGTTATAAACAAAGATGGCTTACCAAAGTGATGGACTAAAGCCATACTATCCTGAGAGAGTTGTTGCATACATCTATCACCTCCGACATCGCTGGATGGTAATATAAGTCTTGGGCCAACCTCGTGTAGGTTAATATCACCATCTTGTAGTATATCTGCAAGACCATTGTATAATTCAGCCCGGAAGCGACCCTGGTTGCACCGAAGCCAGTTGAGCTTGTTCTGATTACAGACTGCCCCAGCATCAACGACCAACCGCTGGAACAACCTCTGCGCACGGAAGATTGTTGATGGCTCATCAGTTCTAGTATGTAAGCGAACTCTGTAGAATGCCCTCTGATATATCCTCACATGTTGTCTGTTTCCACTCAGGTTTTCCTGGGTCCTGCCCCAATACCAACCAGCTTCACCATATGGGAAGAGGAGAATATAGTGGAGGGGAAGGTAGGAGGCATAGCTTGGATCAATGATCAAAAACCCATTATGGGGGACAACACCATCCAATATCTGAGCCAATACCACATCCCTAAACCTACCCTGGCCATATTCTTGGGGTACAATCATTGCAACCATATTCCGTAAGAATAGGTGAATTCCGTGAACTGTCTTTCTGTTGCTCTAGGAGGAGAGCAGAGGGAGCGGTTATGATGTGCGTAGCAGTGGCTTCGGCGCAATAGCAAGTTTTATGCCCGGTGGAGGATTATCTGGTTGCTTACTGTAGTCTGATCGGTGAATTTGCCCCGGGGATTAGGGCAAGAGATGCAAACGTATCATATGATAGACGTTTGCCGTTTGCCGTTGCTGGTGTAGGGTACTCGAGTACTCGTACCGCAGGTCCTAGCTTATCTAAGGTAATTTTACCCCGGAGCCCGGATCATTCAGGATTCTGTCCGGTAGTGGGCGGCTGGGGCGTTGCTCAACCCATCTCCGACCAAAACCAAGAGTGATCACACCTTCCCTCTAAATTTACAGCATGATACTAATGCTACGCCTGAGTAATGTTTTCTGCCATGTCCCCTCGCAACACATCCCCAGAACAAAGGCTCTCCTATTAACTAAAAGCCACCTGAAGTACCAAGGGGAAAGGGAGAATGGCATATTTTATTGCGCCGGGAATCGACAAGATGCAACACCAACACAGCCATCTACCTCAACACAAAACCCACCGTTTAACACACTTCCGGTATTATGCATTAGAGTACTGTACTGTACATACACAGGAGACAGTAGACAACGCCCAAAACAATGCAGCTCACCCACAAATATAGTCGCTAAGCTAGAGTACAGTACAAACCCATGGGAGAAAGGACAGGGCGATGATGATGGGAACAAAAAGCAATCCCTATTTCCTCTTTGCCCGCCTCCTCGTGACAGACGTAGTGGTAGTGACTTCAACATCCACCGCCGTTCCGATACGACCTACAGGTTTCGGGCTTTCAACAACAGGATTACCACTGAGTTTCGCTCGAACATTTCTCCTCTCCTTCTCCGCCTCAGGATCTGTGTATGTGATAGCCTGGCTAGGCATAGGAGGCTCCACTTCGTGCCTGCTGGGACTGCGAAAATCAAAGTCACCACGCCTAGCACCCTCACCCTGTGAACCACCGGCGCTGTTGTTACTGTATGAAGATAGGTTTGATGAAGCTCTTCCTAGAAGCTTACCACGCGGCCTCTTGCGCCTATCCATCACGCTTGTTATTGTGTCTTTTCCGAACTTGCCCAAGAGTTCGCCCACGAGATTCCTTCTCTCCGCATCAGCCCGCAGTAGGTGATAGAGCATTGGTGGATGCCTGGGAAACGTGCACGGACTGATTGTCCAGCTCGTCCAGCGGAATATGGGACGCCGTATCCGAGGAAGGGTTTGTTTCCTTCGTTTCCAAAACCCTCTCCCTTGTGGACCCCCCGGTCGCCGCTTGGGGGAGGCATAAGCTCCGAATCAAATCCCTGGCTCAGAGAACGAAACATTGAGCTATCAAGGCTGCTCAACGAAGAGCTCTTGCCAAAATCCATCTCCAGCCCCCTACCGTGCGGTCGCACCAGACAGTATGCCTTCTCATCAGCTCTCCTCCCATGCTTCTCACTATTATACAACCAATCGGCAGAGACTATGTGGCAGTTGTCAATTGCCCTCGCCGCCTCGAAATCCCTGGTCGACTTCCAAGCCAGCACGGCAGCCCTACAATTTGACCTTTTAGTCAAGTTTATACAACTAACAAGAATTATCCGCTACCTGTAATCCTGAGCTAATGCCAATGATGCAGCTGTGGAGAATACGCTGTTTCCTCTCATTAGATCAAGCTACGTCATCCACAAAAATTTCATCCCGGCCGTGGCCCGCACCGCTGAGAGCTTTGACTCCGACGCCTCTACCTCCGGGCACATCAGGCTTTGTAACCGAATCAGCCGCTGGCCTTCCGCCAGGTGACCTCTTCTTGAATCGATCCCCCAAAAGTGGCATATTCTTAGCCGGAGTCTTCTTACCCTTCGAGTCTTCCGCCGGTCGAAGCATTTTGGGATCCTTAGCCACACTTCGAGAATCTGGCAGCCCACGCTTCTTTGTTGTAATTTGTGTAATATAGCCTGTATCTCGCACGCTGAAAGTTTCTCGATCTCGCTTTCGTCCTTATCGGTCTTCGTATATTCGTACTTTGTATCTGTAGCTGTGCTTGCTACCTGTGTCTGCTGCCCTGATATCTTCCTCTTCCTTCCCCGTATCCTTATGCCTTTATATACACAACAGATAGCAAGAAAATTCCGCTTGCCCTCCAATCATGATCACACTATCCTGGCTCTTACCCCTCCTTTAGCTATCTCCTTGTGTTTCTTCCATCTTCTATCCTACCTCGCTTTGTATTGTTGAAACAGACTATGGCTGGACCTAGTGTTTCGGCGTCATCACCAGAAACTATTAGTGTTTGGGAATCTATCACACCTGCTGGAAGTGGATAGTGGAAGTAGGGGTCAATGGCAATTAAACAAGTGGTATGAGAACTGGAACAGTCTAGTGTTAGATGTTAGTCGTGATACTTGATCTGTTTCTATCTTGTTTGAAGGGTCAGGACTGCGACGGATTTCTTACTTCTGATTGTTTTATCCTTTGCATTTCTTTCCCATCGTGTTCTTTCTAACTCTCTATAAAAGACTCTGTATGTCGCTATTCTTTTCCTATGAGTTATCTATCAGACCTATTCGTTCCTTTCTTTGTCAGACTGTCAGACGATATCAATCTCTACTTGTTCTTTTACCACTCTCGCTGTTGCTCTTGAATAGATGTGAATATATCGACAGGATACACTTGTCCCATATCCTTCACATGTATAACCAATCATCCTTTCTATGATCTCCTCGTGCAGTACCATTTTCATTGACCCCCCCGCGCTGGCTTCATACCAAGGTGCTCTAGAACCTCCGACCCCGCTCGACAAATAACAAACTCATAAGCATTACAAATAAGAAATCAATGCTAGCTTCTGGGGTGTCTCCAATATCCCTCAATCGAACTTAGTTAGAGTACCGGCGATTTACAGCATTCTTCACCTCGCATTCCCTGGGTGTACAAGTCATGCCGTGCGCTCGGTTCGCCAGCCCCTGGCCCTGTATAAGGTAATCTGTGAAAGCTACTACTCTCCTCTCCTTGACACATGCTTCCAGCCAATCATCCGAGACCACAGGGATATCGTATCGGAGTGCAAATTGTAATTTGTCACCAGTTGCTGGCCTGTTGGATATAAGTAAGGTTCGCTCGTTCCCGAGCACATCGTGAAAGCTTCCCCCTATACCTTGCGGGTTAGTCTTACTCTATTCAAGCTATTCCCAGCAATAGAGCGTACCCAGTAAGGTAATCAGATTTTGATAGTGCAACAATTTGATACCAGTAAAGCACGTGAGACAAATATCCATCCCCCAGAGCCCTACAACGGACGTCAGACTCCGATACATGACATTCGCCAGTACGCACCTGTCAGGGGAAATTCCTCAAAGGGGGTATTCGTAAAGTGCTCAGATGGCTCTACGAACCGGGACTCGTATAAACAAGTCTCGAGCCACCACTCTGTAACAACCTTCGCACCAGGAAACTCGGGGCAATCTGGTTTAGAAATCGTGTGAGAAACTATGATGATAAGTCTCGAAGATTCCCGATATGATTCAAGATCCTCGAATTTAGAAACTACCGTAGCATCATGGGATGACAGCACGCTACGGACAGTCTTCTCCTAGAAGATATACTATATGAGCTCATGTTCCTCATTAGAGTGTCCAACGGGGAAATGATCAGACTAACATGCTTATCCTTGAAACCATGAATGTAGAATGTAACAGCAGACATTATGCCCCTCGCTTTACCTCCAGTGGCTTCCACAGGCCCCCTTTTCTGGGGCCTCTGTGGCGGGTAGTCCAGCATGATGACATCATCTCCCGGATCATCCCCCCATTCATCCCGTTTCTTCGGCTTTGGATTAGCAGCTTGTCCCATGATATCGCTCCAGATCTGCTGGCTTCCGCTTCCCAGCATATCCTCCGCTCTCTTTCGTATCTTGCGCTTTTCCGAAACTTCGACCTTCTACACCCAAAGGATGAGCTTCCCGGCCACAAGGAAGAAACAAAAATGGCCGGACTTACCTCCCCAGACGGTACCGTCGCTGAAGGTTTAGCGCCAACACCGATCATCTCTCGAGGTAGTTCTCGATCATAGAAGCTCTCGTCCAACGCCATTCCTCGCTCTAAACTGTCGTACAGCCATTCAACCGTAACAATGCTGATACTATTGTTCCTAGCAAATTCGTACTCCCTACCAGAGGCGATCGCAGCAACGAGGTGTGATACCGACTTTGTCAGGTCAGGATGGTACGAAGCTCCGTGTAATCTCACATTGTCCTCGATCTTTTTCCGTTCCCTCACTGTGGCATTCAGAGCAAAAAGGTCAGCCAAATAATATGCCCCCTCCCTAAAACATATATATATATGAACGTACGCTCTTGAATCCCAGTCAGCGAGATAGCCAACCCATGGAAAGTAGGGAATTTGTATTTCTCGTTGAAATCTGTAGGGTTGATGTCCTCGCCATTAATCCACAAATCGTACATCGCATCCACCCACTCCACCTCCATGACTCGCACATCAGCTCTCATCCTCGCAACGTACTTATACTTCGGCGTGGCGAGGTCGGCACAGATAAGATGGGTAACATCGGAGGTCAGGTCCAGTACATGTCGAGCTCCCATATCTACGGCCTTCTTGGCTAGGGCCGTCTGTTGCGAAGCAAAAGTAAAATTGTCAGCTAAAAGGGGAGGGAGGAGGGCAAGAGGAAAAGTGAGAACGAAATCAGAGGCAAAATACTGACGCGGAACTCTGCAGGCACAGAAGTGCAGCATATCACAATACCGCTGAGCGGATGAGAGTGTCGCGAGATATCAGCCTGATCAGCCATAGCCGTGGGAGGGGGGGGATGAAAAGATATTGTGCGGGGATCTTCCTTCCTTTAAGTTAATGGGGAGTGAGGAAAAAGGCGGAGAAAGATCAGATCGAAGGTTCGGGGTTTCGAGTTCCGCCTCAAAAAGTGTTAGGTTACGGAGGACGAGCAATTGTGTGGAGTCTCCTCAGGCGGGGAGACCGTGCGCATAATAAGAGACTTGGAAATTACTGGAGAAAACAACACCGCACACAAAAATCAATCGCTACACAACCGGGTTCTTTCAACAAAAAAATGGAATGCTTCCAAGAGGCCTTCTAGTGCATAGAGTTAATGGTCTCCATAATCTTAATTTTTGATTCCGTGGTGGGAATATTCATGGTAAACTGTAAGCAACTCTTTCAGAAATATTTGTTGCAATCCTCTTTCGGGAAAGGAGGCAGCTTGGCGTTGTCAAATTAGGAAAGATGGCTGTATTGGGTTGCGCTCAGTCTCCCCGCCTGAGGTGTCTCCAATTGTGTCACACTCAGAACGTGTTGGCTTGGCTTGGATCAGATAAGGAGGAATAGCGATAAGATGGGGATAATGCCATCCCTCTTTATCGATTAGACTACGGTACGGGTAGATGCCCTAGCTTGAAAGACTGAAGACAACTGAATCCAGCAGTCTCCTGGATAGACTTGCCTACCAGTACAGGTATGTTTAAAATAATAATAATAATACCGGAAAGTGTCTCAGCGAACGCCCGGCGCCCAACATAGATAGTCGCTACAACCACATTTTACTGTCTCACAAAAGCATCTTGAAGAAAAAAGGTACAAAAAACTTGTGTGAATACTGAGTGATTTTTCATGATTAAAAAGAACTTTCTTATGCTACTTGTATCATACTTGGCAATTTAAAAGGTCTCCGGACACTTGTTTGCTTGGCGCCAAGTGAATTGGGGACCCCAGTGACCAGCCGATGATGAAACCCCCCACCATGACAAAACTACTTCATGTACTGTAAAAGAATCTGAAGCTAATGAAACCAAGAGTACTAGATGCAATATAGAAGTAGTATAATATTAGGTAGAATAAAAAATAAAAGAAATGCATAGAAGAAATACTTTAGGCCTGAAATCCATTACCCCATTTTTACTGAATACAGGTTTCTATGATCTTAGGCATCTTTACAATCTGTTGATTTCATCAATCATGATACACTCCTACTTATCATTGAGTACTACAGCTGTAGCTGCCAGAGTACAGATCTTCTCACTTCCTCAGCACTAGAAAATACAATGATTTATCAGCTATCAAATTTGCTTAATTGGATTAAAGTCCTGTGAATTTGGTGGCCAATTAATGTTTTCAACTCCAAACTTTGCCAACTCATAATTAGTAAAGTCTGAATCATGAGAGGGAGCATTATCTTCCATCAATCTAAATTGAGGATTTGAACTTCTTCTTTCTTTACATGTTAGTTAGAAGAGCGATTTACAAAGTAAATATATATATCTCCAAGAATCAATATCTCTAGAATCTCCTCTTACGAGCTTCTTAATTTTGTACTTTTTGCCGTACCAAGATTGATTAGTTCTAACCTTTACCCTTGTCTCCTTTTTTCCAATCCAAGCCTGCTGAGTGTTATCCAATTCCCTCTCCTGTCGAGTTTCTAGTTAGTTAATGGCCTCAGTAAATTGTTCAATCTTTTCTCCTCTGTAACTGGAACTGGAGTTCAGTCTGTTCAGTTCAAGGATTTGGTGTATGTTTTGTTTTACTTGTAGTTTTGAGTATCCTTTGATACTCAGTTTGTTTTACTTGTGGTTTTGAGTATCCTTTGATACTCAGCTTGTTTTACTTGTGGTTTCGAGTATCTTTTGATACTTAGTTTGTTTAATTACGGTTTGAGTAAAGGATACTCAGGAAACTCGCCCATGCAGGCCATGGAGGAAATCTTGTATTTAAAGACCGCTGATTCCCTTAGAGGAACAGCAGACTTTGACAGACAGAGTATTTCTAATATACTTGGTTGAACGGTTACCTCTTCAAGTCCCTATTCTTTATATCTTTCTCTCGGAGCCTCCCTTAGTGCAGTACACCCATAGGTTGTAGATCAACTTGTACACTACTTCTATTGTACCCGGAAGTGTGATTAGCACCTCGGTGCGAACACGTTATATTTTTTTAACCTCAGCACATGGTTAGAAACTTGTGTGCGAGAGCACGGATTGACAGGCACAATCCAGTGAAGCTACCACCAAGGCGGAGCAGCCCAGCAGTGCCCTGCCTACTCCGCCTACACAATAGACCCTCTCACCACCCGCAGTGGGAAACAGGTCTCCAGAGAAGCCCTAACGAAGTCCAAGAGACCAGGCCAAGCGAAATGCCCAAAGGACAGATTTGCAATCGACGATCCAGGAAGACAGCTAGCTCAAGATGAGGCAGCTCAGGATTTCAAAGGATCCAAGGAAGAGTTCAGCCAACAAAGCCTATCCACACCTGGAGGCTTTCCAGTTACCCCCAGAAAGGGAAAACAACCCGGAACAAGCGGAAGTTCATCAAGGCTACCAACTGAAGGTACAGGTGCGGCACCTGGCCCAGATGACAACGGTAGCAGCAGCAGTAGCGACAGTGAAGACAGCATGGCAAGCTCAGCAAGAGACCTACCCGGAGGTCCACCAGGACCGCCAGACCCTCCCGCAGGAGCACATGGAGTTGGTGGCATACCTGTCAACCCCCCCAAGATCAAACTCCCCCTGCCTGCGAATTCTTTAGGAAAAGGCGAGGACCTGAAACCCGAAGCTTTCCAGCGAAGGGAAACAGCAGTGCACCAATACCTAAGCCTACATGGCATCAACATTGAGGAACACTATACGGGAATGTATATCGGAGCTTTCTGTGAAGGCAGAGCCCTCGATGCCTACCAGTAGTGCATGGACGCATATGGCGAAGGAGCCAGAGCAACAAGAGTACTAGAAGCCCTGAAGGAACGGTTCTAGTGATCGCACAATAGCGAATAGATATTCAAATCCTTCAATAGCATCAGTCAGACCCACGGCGGAAAAACAGAGTGAATAACTAAGATAGCAACAGACCTCTTACTCTATGCAAAGCGCATGCCCCACGGTGCAGTATCTGCCTACATGCAGAATTGCTGATTCTATGATGCTATGCATCCCCTACTCCGAATGGAAGTGGAACCAATGGAAGATGATGATGACATCCATGATATCATAAAGAAAGCACAATGGCAGGATGCAATACTGCACGCAAACAATGCCTACGGAACCAAATCCTCACCACCACTTTGAAGGGAGCGGCAAGATAACAGACCAGGGCCATCAAGAGTGAAAAAGTCCCAATTTCAGAAAAATGCGACGCAATCCACGAAGGAGAAACGAAGAGAAAAGGGAGAGTGTTTTGAATGAGCAAGGACAGGACATATGGCGCGCGATTGTCCAACAAAGAAAGGAAAAGGAAAGGCGATTAAAAAGGAACCTGCAGCGAACTATATCAAACCAGATAATTACGAGGATGTGCAAATGAACTCCATGGAAGCACAGTGCTTCCTGGTCCACCCGAAACCTGGAAAGAAGCCCCGCCGAGCACTAGAAGGAACCATCCAAATTAATGGACACCCTGCTTGCGTTGTTTTTGATCCAGGAGCTATCAGTACAGTCATGATCAGCAACACCTTTGCGGCTACCCACGGACTTAAAACTGAAGCCCTCTAACAACCGGTCCCAGTTGCTATGGCAGTAAACGGATCCTGCTCGACTAGCTATAAAACCGCAAATGTCTCAATCCAGGTAGGATCTGTTAAGTTCCTAGAACACAAAATGGTACTTGGAAATGTAGCTAAGTTCGATGCCCTTATTGGAATGCCATTCCTCAACCAGCATAATGCGGTCATCAGATGTGGTGAGTCTTTCATAGAGTTCCCAGAGAAGAAAGTCCGGGTGTCCTGCACCCCTACCAGTGGAGCATAGTGAGTTGCAGTATGTGAATCAACAGTCCATGAACTACTGGACGAGTTTGCGGATGTTTTTCCTGACAAGATTCAGGAAAAGCTACTTCCCATACGCACCGTAAACCACTACACCACCTTTAAAGACCCGAACAACCTTAACAATCAACCCACCTACTCAATTCCGGATACCTACAAAGACCAACTACGGGCCTGGATCAATGAGATGATGAGAAGAGGAGTAATCTACAGAAATCAGGCACCTGGTGCAGTGCCTATGTTTGTCCAACTAAAGACAGATGGGAAGCGAATCAGACCTTTGGTCGACCTCAAGCTCCAAAACAGCAACACGGTGATAGACAGTTCCTCCATTCCGAATCAAACCGAGATCCTGAAAGCAGTAGGCCATGCAAAATACCCCAGCAAGATAGAATTGAGTGATGCTTATTTCCAAACAAGGGTGGACGAACAAAGTGAATCAAAAAACTCATTCAAGACACCATTCAGGACCTTCATCAGCAGAGTCATGCTGCAAGGAGACGGCAATGCGCCTGCCACCTTTATGCGCATTATGGAAAATCTGTTTAGTGAGTACCTACACCACTTTGTGTGGGTCTACATTGATGACATCCTAATCTACTCGAATACCCAAGAAGAACATGGGCAGCACCAAAGGATGGTGTGCGAGAAATTGCGAAAGGAAAAATTCTATGCGAGCAGGAAAAAGACAAACCTGTTTGTGGACAGGCTCGAAATCTTAGGACATGTAATTAATGATCAAGAAATTCACACCGCCCCTGGGAAAATAGAATCTATCGCAAACTGGACCACACCATGAACCCAGAAGGAACTACAGCGGTTCCTCGGGCTAGTCAATTACATTGCACGGTTCCTCCCATACCATGCTACAATAATGGCGCCTTTCACAGATTTAACAGGAAAGGCCGAGTTTGCTTGGACACCCACACATGACCAGGCATTCAGAAATATATAGAAACTAATCAGGAAAGCGGAAGTGGTCCGACCACTGGACTACTCCAAAAAGAAACCTATTTGGGTGATCACGG